CTTTTTTCCCTTTGAAGGTCGCTTTTGCAGATTTTACGTTCCCGAATGAAAGCTTCTTTAGTTGTTTGAGTGTTGTTCTTAATAAAGTCATCTCTCGCTTTGCGACGTTTGTCCACAGCAATTCTACACACATCATTATACCAAGTGTTTCTTGACCTTTTTAGCTCACCAATGCTAGTGGCCGCTGCTTTTTTGACAGCATTACTCACTTTTTCCCAATCCAAGTCTACATCTATTTCTATTTGTACGCTATTTTCTTTAAGCTCTTTCCTTACTTCGCTCTCATATTTTTTCCTCACGGTTTCATCTCTTAGTAACTCTAGATTGAATTTAGCTCTTTTGTTTTTTAATCTCGATTGGCTTTTTAACTTTGATCTAAGTTTGGCAATCACTAAGTAATGATCCGTGTCACAGTCAGCACCTCTGTGGCTTCTTACATCGTGGATTGTACTACGGTATCTAGTCTGTATGAGAATGTGATCGATTTGGTTCAGGGTTTCTCCATCCGGTGACCTCCAAGTGGCTTTGTGAATATTTTTATGTGGGAAAGTGGTACTACTAACAGTCAAACCATTTGATGTCGCAAACGCTATCAATCGCTGACCATTGTCATTGCTGTTGCAATGCAAACTTTCCTTCCCTATGCAAGGGAAGTAATGTGGTTCCCGTCCGCATTTTGCATTGAAATCACCTATTACAATCCTTATCATGTTCCCATTGATACCTTCATATGTATCAGTCAGTTCGTCGTAGAAGCTATCTTTCACATTGTCATMTTTTACTTCTGTTGGTGCGTGACAATTTATTATACAGATATTAATTGGACTAGTGTTGATGGTTAAGGTTGATATCCGTTCGGATACTGGATTAAACTCCTTAATGTACGGTACTAGTGTCCTATGAACTGCAAAGCCATTGCCGAGATGATGTGTATTCTCCATTCCAGAGAAGAAAATTGTGTACTCTCCTATCGTTAGTTGTCCTACTCCCAACCATCTTATTTCTTGTATGGCTGCTACTTTAATGTTGTATTTGTTAAGGACGTCAGCTAAATTTTGACTTGCACCTGTTCTATACAAGCTTGTCACATTCCATGTCGCAATCTTAAAATCAGCATTCCGTTTCCAAAAACCAGTCTTGAATCCGTGTAATCTTGTCCGAGGCTTAGGTGTAGTTGGTTTCATAACAAGATTCTTTTACTAGGCAGGGTTGTTAACCCTGCGCTTAACCCCCAACCTGGAGGACCAGTCTACCCCAACCAATCAAGGTCAGGGTAAGGCTACTGCAGTGTACTTATAGAAGTGCACTGGGCGATGGGAGCGCCACTTTCCCTACGCCATTTTATTTGTAACATTAATATTTTAATATTTGGTTGAGTCCAACTAATATATTCAATAGTTAAAGCTTAAAGTTCTGCTCCTAAAATAAGGATAGCAACATCAATATATCAATATTTTCTGAAAAAAGTATTACTATTTGTTACATTGATATTTTCCTTTTTTTTAAATAAATATTGCTGTTCTGATATTTACCTAAAAAATTAAAATCTGACGAGTATTTGTACTGATTGTGTTAGTTTAAATATCTTATTTGACTTTATATATCGGGAGTGTAAATCTATAGCACGCGTGCCAAAATTGGCACGTTATCCAAATTTCAATTGAACATTATTTAAGTTGAATTGTACAATTTAGGTACTATATAAATAAGCATGTCATTTGCATCTTAATAATTATTTCTTTATTCAAATAAATATTTACTTCAAAATAAATAATTCAATAATTATGTACATTTAGTCTTATAAAAGTATTGGCGATTCTGATGCAATTGAAGGTTGTGGTTCTAGTTATTTGTTAAATATTTCCTCTCGTACACAATACTATCAACAACTCAGAAAATGGGATCGTGTTATGGAGAATTGTGATTTACAGCAGACCACAGGAGTCATTTCCAAAGGTAATATTACAATTCAAGTATAAACTTAGTTTTCATAAAAAATCAAAAATTTTTATTCAAAATATGCTCATATAGTTTAATGTATTTTTTTTTTTTTTTCTGAAAGGTACTTTTAACCCATCTACAAACATACGCAATCGTGTTGCCAAAAAGGCCAAACGTACGCAATCGTGTTCTACCCATCAATCTTAGTTGTACAATGCGTTATTGTTTTTGAAATTCATTAGAACATAGTTTATATATGCATATATTATATATAAAGGAATACATATATATTATAAGCAGNTTTAGATTATTTAGAAGCATTTTCAAACTCTGGATTACAAAATGTTGCTCACATATTGGCTTCCAACAATGATAGTTTAAAATATGACTATTGTTGGCAATTAAATAAATGGGATTTACCAGATTGTGGTGACAAATCTTTTGAATCATTGCATTATCATGCTTTACGACATGTGCATCTAAACAATTTAAATAGGGCAATTCCCATGATTAATGAAGCGAGATTAGTAGTTATTGAGTCTCTATATTGTGCAAGTCTTGAATCGACAGCAACAGTTTATACTCCATTAGCCAAGCTTAAAATAATTGAAGTAAGTATACCTTAACATACATATATTTAATAAATAACACCTAATTGTATTATTTTTTATTTTTTTATTAATGATACAATAAAGGACCTTGATGATTTTATCTCTACATCAGATAAAAATAAATTATTTTGCAACTGGTTAAATCAAAAAACTTTAAGAACTAATGATTTTGAAAACATCAATAAAATACTTTCTCAACGTTGTAAGTTATTGGATTTTGTTGGTGATGAAAGATCAGGCATACTAAGAATGAAAATAGCAGAGCTAGCACAACAAAATGATTGGTTACTAGAATCTGGAAGACATTTAGCAACAGTTGCTACCTTAAGCATTTACCATAAACATACAATTTTATGGGCAAAGGTGGAGGAGACTAGACTTTTATGGAAAAGAAATGACTGTCATATGGCAAGGTAAATATTATTATCTCGATGATACATTTTAATGCAATATTATCATTTAAATGATTCATTTTTCAGAGTTTTATTAAAATTTGTTGTTGAAGAACTTGAAAATTATGATTATCCTTTCTTATATTCTTTAGCATTACAACTTTATGGTTCTTGGATGGAAGAAACAAAATCAGAAACATCAAATGATATTATAAAAAAATATTTCCAAAAGGTAAGATGTTTTTCCAAAATGTTCTTAACATTTCAAAAGTTAGATTAATAAAAATAACTGTTGAGGTCATAAAAAAAACATATTAAAATCTTATTAATATGGGATAATATTTTATAATATTTTGATCTTATAAAAACATATATGGTAATTTATTATTTAGAAGCCTTTTTGTAACTGTAACAAAAATATTATCACAACACTATGCTTATAAAACAAATATGTTTAACTCAGAATTTGTATGTGTTGACTATGTTCAATATGTTATATTTTCTTATAAAACAACATTTTCTGATTAAMCTAACCAATATAAACCAGTTATTGAAAACATGAAATAATTTTACTTTTACCAAACAAAAAAATAATATTATTATTACATATCAATTAATTATTTTATTTTAGAAATTTTACCACAACACAAATTTATATGATAGTTACTAATTAAAATATTTTAAACCATTTTAAATTATTATATTATAAATCAAAGGTCTTTAAAAACTATTTTTTATGAAGCTTACACAATTTTTTTTTTGTATCATAAATATGAAAAAAGTTATTCAAGTTTGAAATAATAAATTTTTAAACAATAGGAACTTTTTTAGTATTTTTAATACTAAATTATACTAAATTAATTTTTAAAAATTACAACAATATTGGACACTAAATGTTCTCCTATTTACAGTGTGAAAATTTGGCTGCTTAGCCTAGACTACAACATGAATGGTTATATACCGCGCAAAACAGTATTTGCTATGTTGTATGTTTGTAAGACAAAAAAAACACATGGCATCCTCTTAGAATTATATTCAAATGTGTTTTTATATACAGTGAGTGTAAAAAGTATTCGTACACTCCGTGTTTTTGAATAAATATACACTTTTCTTTATAATATTTTATTTTTATCAATAAACCAACATTCA